ACTACACTTCTGAGAACATGTATGGAAGAACAACAACTTTTGTTGGGATACACAAGAGAACAACCTGTATACAAAGCACTGCTTACAACTCAGGTAAGTCTACACCACCACGGGGTGGGTAGGACATATGTGGATCAGATAAGGGGAAATGAAAGCAATTCTGTACCCTACTGAGGTTGACTCCTCACCCCTCTGAAGGGGAAATCAGCAGTCTTTAAATACCAGAGACTTTAAAATACCACAACAAGTCAGATGCCACAATTTAAAACCATAAAATATAGGGCCCTAAGCTTCTGGGCTCCCCCATAAATGTCAGAACAAACAAGAAAGTGATTCTGCTCCTCCAGAGGTTGAATGAAACACTGTGACACAGACACAGACAGGCATGTTCACCACTGTGGAGCAGTGTCACCTGCAGCAGAACAAGAATCCATCCTGCACACCCCATGCACAGCGAGAAATCCAAAAGTGTTGGAAAAAAGAGACGAAAACTGACACTTTCTACCCTCGCAGCAGGGAACTGAAACCTGCCACCATCACCCTGAAGAAGCCAGCCTGAGGCCACTGTCTTCCACCAAGTTGGCGCACTTCACACTCAACAGGCCCCTCTCACCACCTATGCACTGGGCTTGGCATTATCCCAACATGACTGGTCACGGAGGGAGGACTTCATCTCTGCTGCTAAGTTCTAACCATTTCAGGTCATCCTGGAACACAACCCTTTTTCTGCATCTCCCGGAGTTCTGACCACAGTGCCACAACAAACATATGTTTCCCAAAATGTTCCTGCCTTTCAGAGTGGTTCTTTTATAGAACACAAGAGAAACTTTTCTTACAATGCAACAACAAGACCACAGCATCAGAGAAATGATATCTACAATGAGTGGACTTTATTTTTCTATATCCATCCAGGCCTTTAAGAGAATAAACAAGAACTTCCAAAAAATTTAATGCCAACACAGAAACTACCATTTCAACTTTAAAAATACAAAAGCCTGTGCATGGCTATTCTCCCAGACACCACAAGCACCAAAATAGAATCACACAGAAGCTGACAGACTGAGAGACACTGGCCGTGATGGCTCCAGGAATGAGATAGGCCCTGTGCAAGCTGCAGGATGGACCTGCAGCCCATGGCTGCCTGAGTCTTCATCCAGCCTCCCTCCCAGTTTCTCCCCCAAGCTCGACTGGCAATCACACAGAGGACCACACATCCCAAGTCAGACTCAGCTGCTTGAATCAAGGAGAAGCAGGGAGTACATTAATCCTTTAAAGGTGAATCTTACTTAAAGGAACTCCCTTGTAAAGGCCAGACAGTCCTGCCCCATGAGCCCCACAATCTTGCCAGCCAAGATGAGTGAGGACAGTTGAGTCTTCTGACTATGACCCGGGCAGCGGGGCAGGGGAAGGGTAGAAAGCAGCCTGGCCTATCACACCCACTGGTGCAAAATACAGCTTAGCTTTCCATGTGAGTTTTCGTGCCACCCTCCTGTGCCCTGCCTGCTACCAGGACTAGGTGTGAGGTGCTACTCAAGGGAATAAGTGAAGAGACAAAAGCTGAGCTGCAGGCCTGCCTCAGGCTCTGCTGGCAAACAGAGAAGCTCCCCACTGAAGTACCCAGGCCTCTGACGCACAGCCTGACAGCTACAAGCCCAAAGGAAAAGCACGCAACACGAGGCTGCTCCATCAGCTTTCCCATTTGTCTTCTGTTCCAGGACACTAAAGCCAAATTAAAGCAGCAGGCATTCTCTTAAAACTTTAACCCAGGAGCCACCTGGGTGCATACTTGTACCACCTGCAGTGCTGGAGCTTGAACTGAGGGGGCTTGAACCTGCTAGACAGGTGCTCTAGCACTGAAGAGTCATGTCCCCAGTCCTTTCTAGCTTTAGTTATTTTTCAGGTAGGGTCTCACATTTTTTTGTCCTGGCCAGCCTCAGACCTCATTCCTTCTACCTACAGTCTCTAAAGCAACTGGGATTACAAATGCACAACACCAGGCCCAGCTTTTTGATTGAGATGGGGGCTCCTTAACTTTTTGCCCTGGCTGGCCTCAATCCTTCCACAATCAATGCCTCCCAGATAGCTGAGAGTACAGGTGTGATTTTCTTTTATTTATCAACCTCATACTTCATAAAAATTATATGCATTTTCAATACAAAGACATAAAAAGTAAGTATGTGAAAGTAAGCCAAATCAAAAGAAAACCTGAAGCAGTCAAACCTGTGAGTGGGTGGTGGGTACTGCTGGATGCACCTGTGGCCCAGCTTTCCTCGGGGATGGGCAGGGTGATGCACCCTCAAGCCCAAGAACCCGTCTGCTATTGTTTCAATGACAATATGGCTCTGTGTCTAGGTAAGGTTCAGGCTCTTGAGTTCCAGGATGGGGAGGCAACCCAGGCTGTGTGCTTATGGTCAAGTTACCTACCTTCCCTAAGCCTTGACTTCTTGGGTCTTGTTTATGTTTATTTGTAGTGCTGAGCACAGATCCAGGGCCTTGGGCCTGCTAGCAAACGCCTTATCTCTGAGCTATATCACCAGCCCTTAAAATAACTATAAAACCATACAGTTTGTTTATTTTGTTGGGGATTAAATGGGTTGTTATTGTCAAGGTAGTTGTTGTGCTACTTGAGTGCAATATTAAGTCAGTTTAGCAACTCCTTGTATCACTGACAATAAAAGGAGTGTATGATTTAAGTAAAAAATACAAAGAAGAAAATATATACCATATGATTCCCATATAAAGTATGCAAAGTAACTCCAATTTTATCTTTATATAAATAAGAATATTTTAGGGACCAAAAAACAGAACAACAAAAAAACTATGTAGCAGTGTGAATATTATTTATCTTTTACAGATTCTATAAAATCCAAACATTTAATGTGTTATTTCTGAGAAATAACAAGACTGAAGACCTCCCGAGTCTATGAAAACTGATACTATGAGCACAGTGTATGTCAGATGGAAGTGACACACGGGGTGGGGTCACACGAGCACATGGCAGTGTCACCCCCTCTTCTCCCCGTCAGCATCTAAAGGACACAGAAATACTCCCAGCCCACAGATACCTGCCAGACACGACCTCAAATATTCTGGCTATTATGGACTACACGTCTGTGTTGTTCAAATTCTTATGTTGAAACCCTCACCCTCATGGTGTTGGGGGTGAGGCACTGGGAGGCGATGGGATGACGACAGTGGAGCCCTCACTGGTGGGGTCAGTGTCCTTATAGGAGGAGACAGGGAGAGTGAGTTAGCTTCCTCTCTCTGTCCTCCGCCATTGAGGACACAACAAACCAGGAAGAGACCTCATCAGATACCAGATCCGCAGGCGCCTTGATCTTGGACTTCCAGCCTCCAGAAGTGGGAGAAGTAAGTTTTGCTGTCATGTGCACTGCTCAGCCTATGGGAATCTGATGCAGCAGTCAGAATGCACTAAATGAAATGTTTGGCAGGAAGGCGTCATCATCTTGCCATCCCCTGCTATTACTTAATTTCTAACATTATTGGTACATGAACGGTTCACTTATTTACTGGAAAACTTACGTTGCTAACCATAGCAAATGTAAGAAATAAAGCAGCACTGAGGAGAACAAGCCCATTGCCACAACCTCGCCACATGACCACGTTGGGGATCAGGCTTGACAGGCAGGCTGAGTGTCAGAAAACTGTCTGCACAGAAGAAGGCAGCCAGCTGGACTTGGCTGTGGCCCTGGTGTGGGCTTTTTCCTACAGTCCTTCAGCTTACACTGGGGTTTGGGCTACACGACAGCAAACAGTGACCTTGGCCTGCTGGAGCCCACCTCTGGGGGACACCAAATGCTTCCCAGTATGATTCTCCACAGCTAACACTCAGGGAGCTGTAAACCACAGCCCAGCTCATGGTGCCAGGGGTGTTCACATGAGGCTATGCTCCTGGAAGAGCAGCCTGCGGTCCCCAGGCTTCCTCAGAATTGGAATTGGGAAAGGTAATAACAGCAAGGTAAGTCAGGAGGGGCTGAATGGCACCAAGGTACCAGAAAACAGGTGAGGCAGAGGAGGAAAGAGGGCAAAGCTTGGAAAGGACCAGCTGCTCAGGAGACTGAGGGAAATGCAAAGTTTGAAACCTGGCACAGCATTTGAAATTCATAAAATAATGGAAATGTGGAATACTAACAATCTCATGACAGTTCAAAGCCAAGCCAGGTTGCCTGGTTTGATACAGTCCTGTAGTCACTGCTTTCACCACTGGTAACAACTTTTCTTTTGGGTCAGGGCTCAGCAAAGTCTTTGACCTCTGCACAGCCCAGGAAATCTCTCAAGGGTCAGAGGGCAGCTCTGTTCCCCAACACCCCTCTTAGCACCAGAGCAGGAGGACCTAGGTGGCTCTGTCACCTGTGGGTTTAGGCCAGAAGAGGAAGGGACTACAAATAATTTCTTACAACCACCATCAGAAACGGGACCCTCTGACTAGAGCCTCCTCCTCCAAAGACTCCAACTCTAAAAGAATTGCTTCCCCCAGACCTCCCTGACCCAAAAGGCTGGAAACCACCCTCCCTATTTCATAGCCCCTGTTGAAACTGATAGCTGGCATTGCCATCACTAAGGTGAGTGCTCACCCTGGCTCTCCAGGAGCCAGACACTCTTCCAGGGGAATCCCCTGTTGATTTATGGGTGTTCCCCAAAGGTGGATGATCAGTAATGACTGTAAGCAACATAGAACAGTTCCTAAATGCTGGTCCTCACTCTCGGCTGTGTGTGTGTGCGTGTGTGTTTATTTATTTATTTTTTTTTTGGTCTAAACCTGACTCTCTTCTTTCAGTTTATTTTCCTCAAAGCCTTACAGCAAATATTTAAAGCCTTGTTCTGTGCATGTCTTGTTTTTGTTGGGGAAGTTAAGAGTTCTGAGACAGAGTCTTGTTATGTAATCCTTGGCTTTGAACATGCAATACTTCTGCCTCTGCCTCCTGGGTGCTGGGGTTATGGGTGAGCACCAACACACCCAGCAATTATGATAAAGACACAATACACATCAAAGGCTGACAGAACACATGGATAAATAATAGCTCAAGGAGTTTTTCACCCTGTACACAGGTGAGACAACATGACACACAGAACGACCCAGGACTGTTTTAAAGTAGGCGTCCCGTTGTCTCTTCTGAATGCACCAGTGAAAGCTGGACAGAGTTGACAGTCACCGCATGTCACAGCACTGATGCCCACATACCATGCAAGGGGCTCTGACCCCTGCTCACGGGAGGCTATTTCCCTAAAGTACCCCTGCGGCACGCAGCTGTGACAGTCACGGCAGTGAGCATTTACCGTCCTGGAAGACCCGCTCCACATTGAGCCCGTATGTGGCACACGTCTCGTAGTATGTGCACCTCTTCAGGTCGTTGGAGAGCTTCCGCGCCCTGGCATCATCAATGACCCGCGGGTTCGTGGAACTTATGGCATCTGAAATAGAAGACCAAAAAGTAATGGCCAGGTGACAATATACACTGATCACTAATTACTTCCCATGGCTTTGGGTATGCAGGTAACTCAAACCCTGAATCTTACCCAGTGAAGAATTCCTTCCTTCCAGAACCAGAATTTGGAAAATACAGTTTACCCCCCAAAACAACAGTCTCCAATTTCAAAATAGTCTGTCCATTTCTGGAGAGCAGGTTGTGTTAGAGTGCATTTGAAACTGAAATTGAAGGATGTCCAGTGTGACCAGTAGGAAAGAGTAAGGAGTAAATATAGCTCTAACGGATGACACTTAAAAGGGGCAAACCCCCGCCAAAAACTGCAGTCACATGATCATTATCTGTGGGTCACCTTCCATGCTAGAATAGCCTTGCTAAAGGTACTCCTCCAGCTGTGGCTCCATGTACTCACCACTCAATCAATAACTGCTCACTGGGTGCCCACCAGGTGCCCACTCCTGGTTTACACACAGGGACACCCCAATTAACACACCATGTAGAAATCCACACTTTCATGTGATGGATGTTCTAGATGGCTAGGAGGGGACAGAAAATAAGATAAATATGCAGTGACTACAAAGGTAAGGTGGCCTAAGTGCTAGTGAGGTGGGAAAGGAGGCAGAAGTTTAGGTGACCCTGTGGTTTGAGTCAGGGAGGGCTCACCTTCCTGAAGCAGGAAAGTGCCCTGTGCAGGTCCAGGAGAGACTCAGGGGGAGAGCAGGAGGGGTTGGAGAGAGGGCTGAGGAGGGGAGCAGGGCTCTGTAGGTCATCTTAAGGTTCTGGCTTTCAGGCTCTTCTGTGGAGGGCACTGTGATATGGTATAAGCCACCAAGATCTTAACGGAACATTCATGGTGCTCCTCGCAACCTGTGTCATTTGTGCACAGACGGGGGAGGGGGCATCCGAGCAGCACGACAGCAATGCTGATTTTTAGCCAGGTCACTGTGATGCGTCCCATCTCATGCCCCATCTCATAGGTTGTGGCTCCACCTCCCTGAGATGGCCTCATGCCTGGCACAGACAGCAGAAGGGGCTGAACCTGGGGCCACTCTGCACGGGTGTGAGACAATGAGCACCTGTCAGTGATGTTTTTCTAACATGAATTTTTTTCAGAGTTTCTGAAGGCTCTTATGCTAAAGAAAGTAGTCAGCTACTCTCTGGACAATGGCACCAACAGGATTTCTCTACCAGCCAGAGCAATGGGTCAACACTGTGCCTTCTGTGCAAGGAGAGCACATCAGGGACTCCTTTTTTGGGTGGTGGTGGCTGGGGTTTGAGCTCAAGGCCTCATGCTTGCTAGGCAGGCACTCTATCACTTGTATCACACTTCCAGCCATTTTTCACTTCACTTATTTTTCAGGCAGGGTTTCCCATTTTTGTCCATGGCCAGTCTTGGACCACAAACCTCCTATGTGCCACCTTTGCACAGCTGGGATCACAGCCTTGCACCACCACGCCCGGCTTATTTCTTGAGATGGGGTCTCCATGACCTTTTGCCCATAGTGGCCTTGCACTGTAATCCTCCCCATCTCTCCCTCTCAAATAGCTGGGTTCACAGGTGTGAGCTGCCACACCCTGCCTGGCACCCCATTATCTGAAGTGTAAGAACCACATGCTGACTGGGCATGGTGGCTCAAGTCTGCAATCCTAGCTACTTGAGAGACAGAGGTTTGGAGGGTCACAGTTCAAGGCTAGCCCAGGCAGAAAGTTAGTAAGACTCCATCTTAAGCCATAAAAGCTGGGCACAATGTCGTGTGTCTGTTGTCCTAGCTACATGGAAAGCATAAACAGGAGGACTGCAGTCCAGGTCAGCTTGGGCATAAACAGTGAGACCCTATTCCAAAAATAAGCAAAGAAAAAGGCTAGGAGTATGGCTCAAGCGTTAGAGCACCTGCCAAGCAAGCACAGACCCGGTGTTCAAGTCCTAGGACCGCCAAAGAGTGATGGCGGAGTAGGGAGAAGGCATGCTGAGGTAACAACATACTCACTTCTCTTTCCTTTTTTTCCTGTTTCATGGGGGTTTTTTTGTTTGTTTGTTTTGGTCTTTTGGAGACAGGGTCTCACCTAGCCTGAGCTGGCCTCCAACTTGCAATTCTCCTGCCTCAGCCTCCTGAGTGCTAGGATTAGAGGTGTGTGCCACCACACCTAGCTTTCTATTTTTACTTTCTAGCCCTGTGACATAGTTTTGAAGTGACATTTAAATCCCTTACAGCAAAAACTAAGCGTGAAGACCCTGAAGGAAGTGAAAAGGGGGGAGGGGAGGGGAAGAGGGAGGAAAGGGGGAGGGGAGGGGAGGTGGAAAGGGAAGGGAGTGGGGAGGGAAGAAGAAGGGGAGGGGGTGTCTAGTGTGACTCAGTACTCCATTTGACATGCATGTTGAATATTCCCAAAGTCCAAGGGCGTAGGGTGAAAGAACACCTCCACCTGTCTTCTTGTCTTACAGATGAACAAATCTGAATTGCAGGTAACAACACATAAGGAAAAGAAGTACTTTTTAGAGGTGTAAACATTTTCTAAGAAAACAGTGGGAAAAACTTAGAAACTCTTAACTTCTGAAAGCTTCTGCATAATTTGGAGAAAACAGGCCACAGAACATAAATCCAGCCTAAATTTTATAGCGGCCCAGGGCCCCAACAACTCTGTAGTCCCTCCATTCTTGGGGAACAGCTGCTGTGTTTGATGTCCCCTGTCTACGCTGTAGGACCTCAGAGACTCCTCTCACCCTGCAGGCACAGTTCAGTTCAACCCTGCCCCTACTTCAATCAGTCTGATTCACAGGTCTGTGGGACACAGGCTGCTTAGCAAACATGGAAAGACCTCTCACTCAGCCACGTCTGTCGTGGTCATGAACACACACAGCTCCGAAAAGGCCTGGAGGAAATCATGCCCAGCTTGCTCCGTGTTCCTTCCTCAGCACCCGGCCTCATGCTGACCTCAGGGATGAACAGAGTTCTTCTTGGTTCTTTCCATCCCTTAGAAGCCACCTACCCCAATGGGCAGGTAGGAAACCTCAGGCCCCCTCACTTACCCCTGACCAGCCTTGTCTCCTGCACCCCAAGCACCTATGCACTGCACCAAGAGCACACAGGCTTCGCCGGCAGCAGTGTGCACGCAGAGAACAGGTACTCAAACACGGACCATGGGGAGGTCATGTGCACACCAGCTTCCGGCCGCACGGGCCCTGGTTGGTTAGGTATGGGGTGGGGGGGTCTCAGATGAGGAGTTCCTAAGTGAACACCCTGTCCTATCTGTTTCAGGCACAGCAGGGCTGAAACAAACAGAGCTGAAGCATGACCCAAGACTCCCAAAAGACTGTGCAGGGTGGGGACAGTCACCAGGCTCTCCTCCAGAGGGCTCCCTAACTCCCATGCCTACCTGTGGCTGGCACGGCACAGTGTGGGCAGGCGTGGGTGTGCCCTCTGGGGAGGAGATTACAGGCACAGGCTGCCCTCCGGGACAGGAAGAAGGGGACGTCCTGCTGTGGCTCAAGCAGGGCCTGGGTAAAACCGGCCACCAGCAAAACACAGTGACAAAAGCAACTATGGCCAGACATGCGCCACACACCCACCAACGTCCACTGACCCACCGAGTACCCTCCACAAATTCCTCTCCCAGAACCCCAGGGGCAGAAGTCAGGACCACCCGCTACCACGGGCCACACCTCGGTGCATGTGGCCCTGACTCCACTCTCCAACAGAAGTGCTGGTGTGCACTGAGCAGAGCAATCAAACCTGTTCTTTCCAGCCCAGCCTGGGAAACTAAATGCCCCATGTCACCATGAGGTCACCACGAAGACCTCATGAAGTCGCCTGGGCAGCTCAGACGACTGTGGGGAAAAACCCGGCCAGGCCCGCAGGAGAGACTCTTAGGTTCACTCTCCACCTCTAAGGTGGCTGCAAGCAGAATCTGCTTGAGAGCAGTGTCCACCTTCAAATAGCATTTACTAAGAATTCCCAGGGTGGTCACTTCAAATATGGTATCTCCAGGGATGAGTCCTCCTTGGGTACCAAAATTCATGGATGCTTTAGTCCTTTTTATCAAGTGGTGTAACATTTGCATATAACATACACACATCCTCTTTTATACTTTAAAGCCAAGTCTAGATTACTCATGACACACAGTGTAAATGCTATGCAAACAGGTGTTGTACTGTTTAGGGAATGACAAGGAAAAGGCCTGTTCATGTTAAGAACAAGTGAAAAAGTAACAATATTTCCATTCCACAGTTGGCTAAGCCCTCGGAAACAGAGCGCTAGCTGTCCTTAGAGTAAGAACCAAGAACGTTTTATTTGTGTGCCATAGTCTCCTAGTTACCACCAGAGGGCGCTGTGGGCGCAAAGAATAGCTGTCACCTGGTTTTAGGTTCAACCTGCTTTTTTGCAGGGCAAGTTTTGGTAGTGAGAGCAACCACCACCTGCCATCATGTGTGCCAAAAAAAGGGAGGGTGGTGCTGTCCATGAAAACCCAACTCTGAAGTCTTACACCCAGCACACTGTCCTAATTCTACACACACACCTCCCGCTACGTGATTTGCGTTCATGTTCTTATAAAAGCTGTCTGAGCTCTGACTCACACTTCGCTCAGCACAGCACACATAATTAGCCACTCCTGTGTGTGCCACACAGCTAACTTCTTATCATCTGGAAAAGTCTAAGGGCATTCCAGATATGTTACATCAAAGAGTTAGCAAAAATTGAAAAAACAAAAAAGAATAATACAAATTTTCTTCAAGTGTTATTTTGTAAGTTACCTATATTTCAAAAAAGCCATTTAAAATAGGATTCTTCACAACATCCTATGTGGTGACATCTTGGCTGGACCCCAATAGTAAACACTAGCACAACAATGAATCCCATCAGAACTGTGACTGATTCTGTGTGACAGTCACTGCACTAACAGGCCAACTTTTAAGGGACCTGGAAGAAAACAAGAAATGCGTCCAAAGTGGTTCTACACTCTAAAGAACCTGCTCGATGAAAAACAAGAGATATATAACAAGACACTAACAGACAAAACAAAACAAAATTCTGCTGTGTCAGGAATCAGTATTATTTTAAAAGTGCACTGAACTTAAAAATAAAAAGCAAGAGCTCTTTGCTTAGAAACTGCTTCATACAAGAAAGCATGAAGATATCATAACATAGAAAACAAGAGAAAGTAGACAGACATTTTCTGAAGAGGGTGTGTGCGTGCACGTGTTGTTCTCAGACAGAGTGGTTTCTCCACACAATCAAATGAAGAAATGTCGGGTAATTTCACTTTAATGTCTTCTCTCTCACTTTAGTCCCAGCCTTCCTTTCCTTCTTCAACCATTTCCAAAATTCCTTCTTACTAAAAATGCAGACAAGAAAGGTAACCCTTTACAATGCTCGTGCATCGTAAACTCACCCTGGGTCCCCACCAGCACCAGCGGGAGGTCGCTGGTGCTCCGATAGTTGGCCATTCGACTGTAGTAGTGGTAGACAGTCTGGAAGCTTATCTCGTCCTCCAAGCTGAAGACAAATATGACCGCATCCACCCACATGGCGAACTGCGGAGAGAGAAAGGTAGAGCGCGGAAGCTGAGAGAGGCACAGGAGGAAGGGGACACGAGGGCCTCCTGGAACCATCTTCAGAGCACTTTAAGGTATGCGAAAAAGGTTATTTTCCGTGTATATTACAGAAAAGATATTGAGGAAAAATTCCACTTTGGACAAAATACCAGGATTTTTGTCTGCAGTATGTGGGGCTGTGAGAATAGCAGCTATGGGCTTTGTAATAAGAGCACACAAAAAAGGTTATTATTTTTTATTCAATTTTTTGGTGCTGAGGATTGAATCCAGGGCCTGAGTGTTAGATCACTGAGCTTCTATGCTCCCAGCCCCCCAAAAAGTTTTTAAATAAGAAGGTAACCCCAATAACATCCACAGCAGAGTTAAGTCTGCACTAGTCTGCGGCTCACTTCAGCAGAGTTCTGCAGCCCCCAGCTCTGGGCTGGAGCTCCTCTCCAGTGTGGACAGGTGCTCACTTCCACAGAGACCGTTCTCAGCAAGGTCCAAACTGACCCGCGGCAGCCCCACCAGCTTCTCTACCGCTTCGACATGGGGAGACCCTATGTCTTGCACTTCTCTTTTCTAGACAGCTTATTGCGACACAACGGACAGCACTTCTTGAAGCCATGGCACCAGCACGTTCATGGGTATTTCTATTATGTTCTTCATATACTGCTAAGGCTGGCTTTCTAACTTTGGGGAAAATGCTTGTCCCCAGTCACTCCAAAACAGTTACCTCTGGGCAGAGTGGAAAACAAACCTCTTGCTTTGTCTTCCACTCTCCCACGCACCACTGCCTCTCCATCTGACCCCGAATTGAGAGCCTTTCCTGTAGCAGCTCACACACCCCAAGTGCCACCATCAGAAACCTTCACCATAAGGTAATGGGCATTCACAGGACATACACTCATGCTGCCCTGCGACCAACTGTATCATTCACCTTTAACCTGTCTTCAAGAGTTCTCCAAGGGCTGAAGGTATGGCTCAAATGACAAAGGGCTTGTCAGTATCTTCAAGGCCCTGAATTCAATCTCTAGTACAGAAGGGAGGGAGGGAAGGGATGTTTTCATATTATACTCAAGTATACTGTATCATTGATGCTAAGAAGGAAAAGGTTTTCACTTTGATATCTCTGAGGTCAAATTATGCCCTATTATTACTGATGTTTCATAGTTTAATTGGCAGTGTTTCCTTTTAAGTATCAGTACATATTATAGTCAGTTGACATTTTCTGAATCTCTGTGTGGTCTTCCAGCACATGGAGAACCAGACCTTTAACAACCAGTATATCGGAACCTCTTCCACTTTAATCGTCTTACAATCCTATGCTGCACTTTCACAAAGAGGCAAGTTCAAGAGAGAAGTGTTCTCTATTAGGTTTGCATTAGGGGTCACAAGCCATTGCTACCAGTTCTTGACTGCTTTCAAGTTTTTAGTTAGAAATATAAGATGTAAAAAAGCAACCAGATGGACAGAATAAAGCAGAGGCACAGGTTGTCCATGTGCTCACTTTTGTTTCCAGAATGCTCATCTTTCTAGGGATTTTCAAGGGAATTGTACTATACTGCAGACTAGTTTGCCACAGAGACTGATATGGGCCTGGAAGGCTGGCGAGCATACAGAGACATCAACTCCTGCCAGTTACCAGAGCAGAAAGACCAGTTCCAAGTTCCACCCGGCAGACTTCGTGATGACCTTACTTTTTTACGATCAAGCCAATTAAAGGGGGGAAGGGAGAAATGACAGAAATGTCTAGATGCTATTTCAATGAGTTGACAAATCATTGCAGATTCTGCCTTTCCATCCTTCTTAAGAGCACATGAAGTTAAAAAAAAAAAATCATCCACAAAGACCCAGCTGTTGTGGGCTTCTGTATTTCCCAGTCTGAAAGTGCTAGTGTTTTCAGAACTGGCTGCTGAACCAGCACCTCAGGAAGCAGAAGGTAGAGGCTGGCTCCCGTGTGTGTGCAGTACTCACCTGTGCCTCTGGGGGGCCCCCTTCATCTCTAATCAGCAGCAGATAGCTCTGTCCATCAACGACAATCTCCTTCTTGAACCTGCCACCTGCCACACAAAACATGGTGTTACAGAGGAAAACCAGCGCGTGAGGGGGCAGACAGACGTGGGCTTCGCTTGTGGAAAAATACACTCTAGGTGGCCGCCCTGGGGGCAGCGGGCTGGGAGGACTTAAGAGGAGTGAATTTTGTATATCTCCCAGAGTCACTGAATTTTAGAGCAATGGAACTCAGACTGAAGTATTTGACTTTCAGAACCAGTGTTCACTTCAGGTTAGGAGGCATGGCCCCCGTGCCAACGCCAGGCACTCCTGGCTGAGAAGTGTGGGATTTGTGTGCAGTCTTTACACATCAATTCATAAATTCTCACTCACTGGGAGACAGAGAACAGTGAAACTGTCACTCTGTATTTGGGTTCACAAAACTGAGAAAGGCTTTTTCGTGCTTGACAGGTAGCTTGTCCATAACATCGGAGAAGGGGAAGGGCAGAGAACCTGTATTCTCCTCAAGGGAAACCCAGTTCTTAAAAGGAACACACAGGACAGCATGAGGATGGCGTCGGCGTAGTCACGGTTCACAGTTAGGGAAGGGTGCCAACTACTACACACGTGTTAGACAGCTACCGGATGGGGTCTCAGTACAGGCGGACAGAGCGGTGCAGCTGGCTGGCAAAGAGGCATTAGAGACCAGGCTGGCTTAGCAGGAAACCACTGGGGGCCCTGCAGGAGCATGGGGGGAGGGGACAGGTGAAGCCCCAAGGGCTGCACCTAGACACACCCAGGGGAGGGGCATGCAGCTGCCTGCCACACCCCAGGAAGCAGGCCACTTCTGCCTTCTCTGGTCACCTCCAAAGACAGACCATCTTTTGAGATTCTGGGCTATGCGTCCACTCTAGGTCAACTTCATGGGCATTCACCAACTCCTGGCCCTCATTTTGAGCTCCTCTGTGCAGGTATCTTCCAAAAACCCCATCGAACTCCCAAGTGACTGAACTCCAGAGAACATCACTGCCTGTGCCCCTGATCTGCCTGTGTGTAGGCCTCTGCCTCCCAGAGCCACCTTAGATGCCCTCACCTGTGCAGGGGCCCTCCCACCCCGGAATCTGAGTCTGGGCCACTTTAATGCTCAAGAAGCTGAAAAACTAGAATTCCCACCCACCCCAATCCAAGTTGTAGGGCCTCCAGATTGGCAGCTTCCCTCTGAGGCTAGAGCAAGCTGCCTGCCCTTCCCACTCAAGACCCACGCCACACTTGCTTGGTCACACTCCTGCCTAGCTTGATGTAACAGAATGGTGCTTGTTTAGGGTTCAGTTTGCTCAATCATAAAACACACAGAAAAACTTTCCAGCATGACAGCAAAGCAGATATACTCTCATGTTGATGTCTCCCATCACTGAAAAGAGAAGATGTAGTAGAAAAGGATCAGGTGGAGATGTGCTGGGGTGAGGGATTGTGGGGGGGGGCATGGGCAAAGGAGGGGCAGCAAGGATGCTGCACCCAAACAAGCCAAGGCAAGTGTTCCACACCAGTGATTCACAACTGCAAGAGGACACCAAAGTGACTTAAGTGCCCGAACCGCACATCTTCATCATTGAAAAAGGGAGTGACTCCATTTTAATACACAGCAGAATCCCCCAAGTGATACAGCCCTGAGATGGCCCACGCTCTCAGCCTCTGACACAAGGCCAGCTCTGAACCCTGGGGCTACCCCACAGCAGCTATGTGAACTCGCTTTATTTCCTCTGTCCGCCTCAGTATCCCCAGATGGCAAATGGGGGCGATGACATCCTGGCAGGAAAGGAGTGACAACTTAACACAAATCACTTTATCAGTGCCCAGCCCACGGGAACAGCTGTGGCAACTACGTTATTCACAATTTCAGTCAAGGGCTGCCACCAACTGGGTTTTGTACAGCTATACCTAATACGTAATCAGCATGCTAACAGGAGAATAATGTGCACAAGTGCAGGCAATAATCAATGTCATTTCCCTACCTTTAACTTTTTAAAAACAGATGCTGGAAGGTCGCTATTTCTCAGTTGAGATGGACAGAATTCAACATTTTTAGAAAGGTGATGTGTGAAAAGCAAATCGGTTGCTGTTTGCTTTGGGAAAAATCTCTTCCTTCACACCCCAATCCTCAGGATCTGATTAGTCACACTTGCCAGGGTCATGAGAAAAAGCAGCTGCAATTGGGGTCAAAGCTTAAAAATTCTTCCTACAGTTCTCCAAGTTCTAGCTTCAATAGGCACCTGAGTTCGACAACAGCCACGAGGTCAGGTGTGTTCGAGGGCCGATTCAGTGAGGACTTGTAAGCCCCTGTGGCCACAGGCAGGCATGTGTGCATGGGGTGACTGAGGAAATTTCAAGGCAGTTTGCAGAACTTCCAGATTTGGCTGAGGCTACAAGGTCCTTCCTGAGCTGGGGCTGGCCAGAGCAGAACTCTGCCTGTGTACTCCTGCAACACCTTCTTCCTGGCTGTTAGGAGAAACTGAAGAAAGCAGAGTTTCCTGGTGGGCGGCGAGGGCTGACTCTTAAAGGGAAGGCTTGTCCTCAGTGCTCCAGAAGGTCCCTTGAAAACCTCAGCAACCAGAAGTGCCACCGAGTTCTGGTTGTCACACAAGCCACTGAGAGGCAAATCATTCACCAAAAGGAGCAACACTAATTCCACACAACGTCCACCATCATTTGTTATGGGTTGAATTATGCCTGTCACAATCTATGTTAAAAATCTCAGGAGGTGACACCACTTGCAAGTGAGGTTCTTGTACATATAAGTGTCTAACGTGAGGTCATACTTGAGTAGGGTGGGCCTGACCCCATATGGAGGAATGTGGACAAATGCACATGCTTGTGTGCACACCTGAAGAATGCCATGTTAACTCAAAGTAGAGACAATAAGCCAAGGAACACCAAGACCACCAGAAGCTGGAGAGAAGACAGGGGCAGAGTCCCTCTCTCAGCTGCACAGGGTCTCAGATTTTTGGCTGCCAGAACTGAGATCATTCATATCTGCTGCTTAAGCCACCCAGGCAGTATGTGACGCCTTTCTCCTGCAGCCCTGGCCAACTGATGTAACTTCTGGTGCAACCTTCTGCTCTCTCTGTATGCATTCTCCCTTGTGACCATGCACATACGTGTGTGCACAAGGGCATCTACCACCAGCTGTAAAGTCCTGGAACCCCAAATCAGCACAGCAGGCCAATCTTGCACCTGAGCTCCAACATAAAGGGACCCACCTGGACACGCACAGTAGCATGAGACTTAGGCACTAACAGTGGCCTCACCTCCATCCCAGACTCTCGCCTCCCTGACTTCTCTGTCTTGCCCTGGACATGCTGGTCCCTCGCTCCCTTCCTCATTAAACTGGGTAGCTTACAGCAAGAGGGGAGGAAGGGGGCCTGACACTGGGGCCATCAAAGTTCCCTGCAACAGCAGCATTCTCGGCAGCCTTCAGCCAGCAGCCCCCTCCCCGGGGAGCAGAACCAGTGGCCATCAGCACTGGCTGTCCAGGCAAACTTCCTCCTCACAGGCTGCTCTGCACCCCGCACATCTAACAGGTGCCAAGTAAGCACCTGCTGCATGAAGTCTCAGATTTCTCTCATTAGCTTCCTCTAACATTTTTGTAGAGTCATGTACAGAAATAATGCTTACAGATGGCTGAATCACAACATTAAAGCCATGAAAGGCTTCCCCAGAAAGCACTAAGATCCCTCCTGACCTTTGTTCTTCCACAGTCACTGGTGGTATAACCTCAAGCAAAGGGCTCCAGACCTAATTTCCACTGAGTCCTCCTCCCACCTGGACGGTCTCTCCCAATTTTGACATCACTGTACATTCCCTGAGGAAAAGTAGATGGCCCATACTTTGGGAAGGAAAGGTGCAGTTGCGCTCTCTTGCTTATTTAAATCTTACCGTTGTCCCTTACCATCTGACCTCAGCCAGTTTTAAGGTTTCTACTCTGAGCCTCATTGTGTAGGAACCACCTCTAAGTGTGGGATGCTGGAGTAAGTCAGACAACTGGATGCGGTCCATTACAGCTCACACAGGAAGGAGCCACTGTGCATTAACTCCTCTCACATGCCAGTGTAGTCTACACAGAGAGAGGTGCAGTCAGAGTTCCCTCTGCATGACCACTTCTACTTTAAAAGGAAAAGGGGCAAACAGAATTGTCCTGTTTCAAGAGAAAGGGGATGCTGGTGTAGACACTGCTGCACATTTGGCATTTCTGTTGCTGTCATTTTCTCTAATTGAACTGAAAGCTAGAAACGTATCATTAACAGTTCTCTAAGCAAGACAATGTGATGACAATGACAGAGAGCCTATCACTTGAGTTCACAAAGCTCTATTCTTCCCATAATATCTCCATATTCCCCACGGCCTCTTGTAACACAGACATCATTGTCAAGTCCAGATTCACCAGGGAGAAGTTCAGACACTGAACCAGACCCCAGGCCAGCCTGCAGAAGCAAGGCTCAAATCTTGAAGTACTGACTCCTCCCTCTCTTCTGTGTGAACTTCTGCTATGACAAACCCTCCATGACCATAACATGGTCCTGTCTGGAAACCAGCCTGGCAGCCTCTGTGTCATTTTCAGAAGATGCAGGGAGTCTGTTGTCTCTCATTCCACTCCAGGCCAGCATTAGCTCCAAAACCTTCACTGTGTTTAGGAGATGGAAAAGAAGGACCTGCCTGGAGCCTCCGTGCTTCACTGTGATGCATACCTTTACCTTTCATGCTCGAGCAAAGGATGAAAATTACTGAGCACAAACTGCATTTGTGGAACACGCCATTTTTCTCTTCTTCCACTAGAAAGAGGAGGGAGATTTTTAGCACCTGACCCTGAGCAATGGGGAACCTTTCTGCAGGTGCCAGCTGGCCTTGAGCCTTCTCAATTGTGGCAGTGACTGGGTCTTCTCCAGCTGTAGTTGGAGTCTCTTCCATGAAGACATTTAAAAAATTCACTTAAAACTTTCTGCTTTCTTACTTGAGGCCAAGACAATACAGAAGAATATCTACAAATGCTATTATTTCCAAAGTATTTATGAAA